TCAATCTGTCTGTCTGTCTGTCTGTCTGTCTGTCTGTCTATCTGTCTGTCTGTCTGTCTGTGTCTATCTATCTCATAGCACCCTAAACAGCCTCAAACCCTAGACTGAACGATTGGGACACAAATTGCTCAGCTAATTTCCCTTGCATCTGTATGCTCTTTACTACAGGGAATTCAAAACACATTCACAATTTCGATCATGTGAAATGCCATTAAAAACTGTGATGTGTGAAGCCATCCCTCATGATGTGCAGAGTATTTGTTGGAATGGAGCAGCTGGAGATGATGATGGCCCTAATAAAAGTTCAGCTCAGAGCAGAAAGAGAAGTTGCAGTAGCAGGTGTGACAGACATGGCGCCTGGCAGGGAGCTTTTTACACATCTGTGAATGCACAGCGCCACTGCCTACGCGCGGCCACATAGGACCTGTCCTGCATCTGACGTTCTCTTGGAAACATCAGACTGCCATTTGGAACGGTATGTTGAAGAACTCCAAGTAAACACTTTGAGTTTACTGGGTTTTAAGGTTTTTTCATTTGCATTAACCAGTATGAAACTTAACGTCTGTCATGAGGTCAATCTACTCGAATGGAGCACTGTTGTATCTGGATATTTCGATTTTTCACATTAAGTATTGTAAACTTATCACCATGCTGACGTCAGTCTGGAATCTGGCACCTGACAGCACCTTCCTTTGATTCGGTGCGAGGTTGTGTCATGAGCGGTGATCCATTGAGGTGAAGACGTATAAGCGTGGTGGATGGCAACACTCAGATGCTCAGACGATGAGAAGGAGGACAGTCTGGCAGGATGCCGAGCCTCATCACTCTGTAAGGTCGCACTCATCTGACGCTTTCAGACCAGCTTGGAATGTCAGTGGGTGAATTAGATTCAAGAGCGGAAGCCAATTTGTTGTTAGTGTAAATCCTAGTAAAGAAAGGAAGAATGTGAGCAGCTGTACACTTGTCATGTTTATTTTCGAAGGATTCTTGTGAAGATATAAATAAAGCATGAACTTTCAGCATAACAACATCAACTGCAAAAGACCAAAAGGGTTAATTTAAAGTAAAAAACAAACAAAAACGAAACAAACAAAAAAAAAAGCATATCTGGGTTACAAATCAACAGAAAAACATATATTTTTGGATATAATTTTTAAGAAAGTTATGTCAAGAGAGAGAGACATTTTCATATTTGTATGTATAGGAAGACAACATTATTAATAGTATAATTAATTTATGATTATTTGCACAAATGCTGCAATGGAAAATACTAAAAAAAAATTATTTTGATTTTGGGGTGAAATATGACAATGTTTGTGAGATGTTCTACAACAATACATTTTTAACACTACATGTAGTTTCATGAGACGGAGCATGTCAGGAGATACAGCTGATGGAGTCTATGTGGTCTAGCCTCACATCTTTGTCTCTGTTTTTAAAACTACATTTCATGAAATATTCAACCAATTCTTTTAGCATTTCAGCTATAATGCACTCTCGTGACCTCCTTTTGTCTATGCAGAAGACAAACACAGTAACCTCAAAAATGCTCTTCACCTTCACATGCTGATCATGAATTCAGCACCAGAGAGTTGTCATTAATTTCCTTCTTTAGACAGAAGCATTCATCACCTCTTTCATATCGATTTTACCATAACAGTTGCATTAGATCATTTACCATCCAAATCCATCTCATCAGTCCAGTTAATTAAAATCTGTTTTGCTATCATAGGGCCAAAACAAAGAGAAGTAATCAGTATATAGTACTGAGGTACACCTCGGTTATCATCATAAATAATATAAATAGTAGGCTACTGCAGATCCAGTATTGCATGTCTAAAAGGAAGTCAGACATAGAGTGTCTGCAATTTCAATACCAACAATCTGCTTTTGCTATTAGGCAACATTAAGAAATAAAGTTGTTGTGCTTATGGCGATTGTCACTGAAGATTAATATGAAATGAAACTCTTTATATTCTAAAAATGCTTGATTTCCTGACTTTTAAGTCCTGTGGGTTTGACCAGGGCCGCATTAAGACCGCACTGGGCCCCGGGGCTATGACTTACTGCAGGGCCCCCCATCACAATAATGATATATATATATATAATTGAAGGGGGTCTGAATACTTTCCATACCCACTGTATATTGTATAAAGAAAATGTGCAAATAGACTGAATAGTCTTCACTGTATAAATTCAATATACATTAATTCTTATTTATTTTACAAAAGTGATTCAGTCAAGGACAGTAAGTAATGTTCTTTCTGATGTTTTGATTTACATTATTGACACAAATGGTAACAGCAGCTATATTAGGCTGCATTATAGTTCACCCAAAAATGAAAATTCTGTTGATGTTCTAAACCTGTATGAGATTCCTTCATGCTGTTGAACACAAAATAATATATTTGGAACAATATTGGTAATCAAACAGTTGCTGGGCCCTCACTACTTCCATATATGAGAAGAAAAAAAAGAAAAGAAAAAAAAAACATTATTGGAGTCAGTTGGGACCAGAAACTGGTTACGATCACTCTTCAAAATATCTTCTTTTATGCTGAGGAGGAAAAGGAAATTCATCCCCTCTCTCTTTTAGAATTGCTGACATTTTTACTTATTGGAATGTTGTTCTTTGCGCGACCATTTCCAGATTACTCCAGAACAAAGTGAAGAGAGGTGAATGCAGACATACTGGGCAGCAATCACCTGATAGATACGTGTGCATATCGTTCAGAAGTCGAATATAGAATAAATGCATTTGATTGGTAAACCAAATTCAGACTTTACGTTTCAATTTCAAATAGTAATGCATGGAATTTACGGAAAAGCTCAACTAAATAACAGCGCTAATAAATGGGGGGCGTGGTGGCTTTGGCGATCGGCGCTCCAGTCAATCTACTCCACAGCCAATCACGGGCCCCCTCCTTGCTCGGGCCCCGGGGCTTCAGCCCCGCCTAGCCCTATGGTTAAAACGGCCCTGGGTTTGACTGCACATATCTTCCAGTCTCCCACTCTTTTCCCCAGTTTTTTTTTTCTGGTGCATGTGTGTATGGATATTAGCAAAACTGTGTGCTGTCTAACAGGATGAAATTGAAGGGGATCACAAATGCAAATTCTGCCATTCAGATGTTGCCTTGTCAGACTGTAAGGCAGCCGCTCAACAGACAAGCACAGAGAAAGTGTTGCAAAGCAGAAGATGTTATACATTCTTGTTTTGCACTGCGGTGTTCCTTTTTAATGCACTCAAAACACATTTTTATCGCTGAATGTTTAAGTGGGTGGGTGAGAAAGAGGAGAAAGAATGAGTGTGTGTTTGAGGTGGTTGGTCTGTAACACTGGCTATGACAGAGGGAAAACCAGTGGGGGAGTAATTGCACTTTGCATGACACACACAATGTATCTGATGACACACTGTGACTGAGGAAAAGCATTAACAGCGGAAAACTCAGATACATACATGTATGCGTGCACACTCTACTTGACATTATTGTTAATAAATGTACAAACACACAACAATATCTTTGGAATCTCAAATAAAATCAGTTAAAAAGAGCATGGTGTCCATTTAATTCCCGAGACACACGTCTCTTCTAAGCTTTTGTTTGGAAAAGTGGCGGTGGAGTGACGGCTAAATGTCGCCATCCAGTGGCGGTTAATAGACATTGCATATATCCCCATCGTCACATGTATCAAACGCCGTGAAAACAAACTAAAAGACCATACTTGGAAGAAAAAAGTGATAATTGCTGCACACTTATGAACTTGCCGTTTCATGGGTGTTCTGTTACAACCTGACATCGCTTTATAATGCTTTCGAAAACCAGCGGTGTCCAGTATGAGTGTGTCCCCCTAGCGTTTGTTTTGTGTAAGAGCGCGCATGCGCAGAGAAACAGCAGTTTGTCTCCCCCTAGCGGGCGTAGTTGAAGACGCGCATGCGCAGTGGAGTTGCAGTCCGCGGTGGGCGGAGTGGATGCGAGGATGTTGAGTTTGTGACGATAAGCAATGTGAATGAAAAAAAAAGAAAAAAAAAAAGACGAAATAACTGTGATCTGGGACAAGTAGCGGTCGCGAATTCAGACGGCACTGCGCAAAAGGCCATGTAAGTTTTGTCACATTAAGACAACGTCAAACCGAAAAAAAAATTATTTAAAAAATGACAAAATAGTAACAATCTTGCAGTAGATAAGAATACTCGATGCGGCTAACTATATAGCACTATACAGTGTGCTGTTGCAGGCTGGCGCGACAGCACAAGGTTGTTTATAATATTATAATAACGGTCCAGCATTGGTGCTCAGTCAAAGCGATTGCAACATTTTCACATCATAGGGAAAATGTTTATTAAAATTGAGCTGACGTCTGCTGTCACTAAAAACAAATAGATCTGCGTTTAATATCATATAACGATATATCTCGTTCAAGACGTTTGAACTTGAAGCTGTTATGGCTGTCCGCTATCTTTTTTTGTCGGACGTCCTTTGAGGTCTCGTGACCTTGCAGTCCAGTAAGGTTTTCTAAAAGCATGTGGAAAAATACAGCTGTGGAAACTGTGCCTTGAGGTCTCAGGCTTTAGCAATGAAATACGCAGTTAAATTAATGGAGCTGACAACGCTTTCAAAATGTTGTTTTGTTGAGTACGTGCAAATTAGTCTTGCATATTTTGAAAGAAATGCCAGTGCTTGAAGATAAATGACCTACAACACTTTCGTACCAATTTAGTTACAAACTCAGATGTTTGAAAATTATCCATGGTTTTACAAATAAAACCAAAAAACCATGGTTACTATAGGTAAGTTAAACTTTGGCAACCACAAATTAACCATGGTTTTTGTGGCAAAACTGTGGTTATACAAATATGTATATGTACATATAAATATGTATTGATAGGTAATCAATATGCCAAAAAACCATGGTAACTAAATTTTGACTATAATAAAACCATGGTTAATTTTCTTAAGGAAAGTGAAGATTAAAATCTTCTATTCTTAAGTGTAATGTTTTAAAATCCAAAAATCAAAATGGAATTTTAGTCCATGTCTCTTTGACAAACGTAGCACTCTTTCTTCTTGCAAAATGGACCTTAAAAATGTATGTAAAATAAAATTATCCAATAGAATGAGAATGTTCCTGTCCCAAATTTACAAATATCATCTGCAACTGACTAACCTTAGCAAGCAGTGTTGCCAATTTAGCAACTTTTTGCTAGATTTAGCAACTTTTCAGACCCCTTTAGTAAACGAATGAATGAATGAAAAATCCAGAGCCTCCTCGGACAAACCTTATGTAGTTTTCCGAGACTCATCTAGCAACGTTTAGCAAGCAGGCTTTAACTGATTTCATTGAAAGTAGTTTGTAACAGTGTTAGCAAGTAGCAAATCATGGTTTTAAAGGCAATGCACCCAGAAAGAAAATTTCACCTCTGTCAAACCATTTAATGAGGCCAGACTGATTGGAGTTGAATTAACTTAGAAAGAAAGCTTGTATAAAGTGAGTTCAAAATCATGCTGAACTTTCAGAGTCAGTTAAGTCAACACAGCTGGGAAATTCATGTAATCCATTAAGATCACACGATGTTTATCCCACTATTGTGGTGTTTGTTTTGTTTTACAGATCATTTTAAGCGTAGCCAGCTGGCCGCCCACCCTGTGTGACCTCTGGAAAGGCTTGTTAGGAGCACTATGGGGAACACAAGCAGTGAGAGGGCCGGCATGGGCCAGGAAAAGGCCCACAGGAGGGATAGTCGAGGAACCAAGGAAGGAGACCGTCCTAAAATCCTGATGGACAGCCCAGAGGATGCTGATATTTTTCACGGGGAGGACATCAAAGTGCGTGTTGGCTCGCATTGAATGTTCATTTATGAAGAATATGATTGATGGTAATGTGTTCTGTCCTTTATCTTCTATTAGGCGCCGTTAGAAAAAGAGGAGTTCATTGAGTGGAGACCAGACCTGGAGACCAGTGAAGAGGTTCCCGCTTTAGATCGACCCACTGTATTTCGGTGGACAGGAGCTGGAAAGGAAGTCTATATTTCTGGCTCTTTTAATAATTGGACCAATAAGATTCCTTTGATAAGGAGGTATGTAAGAGTTAACGTTAACTGAAACGATTAAAATATTTTTCTTAATTGAAATGAACTAAAATATGAACATTAGAAGAAAAACTTAAAAGGAACGAAAATGATAAATGTTGTTTCGGCAACAGTTGAAGCATTACAATTACTAACTGCAAATAAATAAAAGCTAAAACTGAAGTCAAAATAAAATAAATTAAAAATTAAATAAAAATAAATATGACCTAAATAGTACTGCTGTCAAGTGATTACATTTTTAATCGAATTAATTAGATGATGTGCCGATTAATTAATCGTATTAAACACACCTCAGTTTGGGTTGAAAACTTAACCCTAAAATAATATTTGTAGTCATCATTGTGTTAAATGAGAGAGAATTTTTTTTTTTATAATTGTAATCATTATTTCCATAATTATATTGCTCCTAATTTACGTGTTAAATTGACAGCCCTACTAAATAGTAATTAATTAACTATAAATAAATAAATGAAGATTAAACTAAAATAAAATGAAAACTGAAAAATATAATAGTATATAGGCCTAAATAATACTATTATAGCAGATAATAGATACATACGTCTTCTGCTGAAAGTATTCTACTAAGGTCTTTAAGAAAAAGCTCATTTGTATTCATTTTTACTTCTGTTTCTTCAATAGTCAAAACAACTTTGTGGCGATTGTGGATTTGCCTGAGGGTGAGCACCAGTATAAATTCTTTGTGGATGGACAGTGGACTCATGACCCAACAGAGGTGACGGAGACATCAATCATCACCATCCTCCATTAGTACTTTAAAACCATCATAACACTGACCTTTTCTTCTCTTTAGCCTGTGGTGACCAACCAGCTCGGCACGGTCAACAACATCATCCAGGTGAAGAAGACAGACTTTGAGGTGTTCGATGCGCTCATGGTGGATTCACAGAAATGCTCTGACATGTCAGGTGTGAATGCAACCAACCATCTTCTCAACTTTTCTACAGCTGTTTAATCACAAGAAGCTGAAAATGATCTGCTACATAACTTATGATTACGCAGAAGTGGTTTTAAAAACAGTCAGTCATGGGTTGTTGTGACACATTGTTTTGATTGATTATAGACCTGTCCAGCTCTCCTCCTGGGCCGTACCATCAGGACGCTTACGTACCCAAACAGGAGGAGAAGTTCAAATCTCCACCCATTCTGCCCCCACATCTCCTACAGGTCATCTTAAATAAGGACACAGGCATCTCAGTGAGTATCTACAAAAGACATCGCATTTGTGTGGTAAATATGACAGGTTTGATTATCATTTTATGAAATTATTTGATTCCATATGGGACCCTATGATTTCCCCAATGCGGAAAATGCAGCTGGAATTTTGGAATTCAGTTATAAAGGTGGAATTTTCTATACAACGTGGAATGTCACAAAATGTATATATCAAAAGTAAGACTGTACAATTAAAAAAAAAATTCAAATCATGATATTTGGACTAGTGTCTGGGATTATTAAACTGCAAAGTCTGCCGTCTCACGATATGAGGACATTCCACATGATCTTTATCTCCAGAGCTGCTCGGAGAGTTTACTTCACATGCATTTCTATTTAACTTGATTAAAACTATTGTCAGATATACCCAGAAATGCACTACAAACTCACAATCATAAGATTTGAAATGTTAAAAGTGCAGTTTATATGCAGATTATATGTTAAAAGTGCAGTCGAGCAGCACAAAAGTCACATTATATCCAATTATTAAATCAAAGCATTAACTTGAAGTTTTATGAATTATTTTCTGTAAGAAAACAGAACCTAAAAAAATTAAAACACAACAGAGAATGTGAAAGAATTTCCAATAAAATTTGATTTCAGCAAAAAATATTTCTAGTTGTATTTCATAGGGCCCTTGAAATATCAGAAGATAAAAAAAAAAAAGAGTGCTGTCAAATGATTAATCGTGATTAATCGCATCCAAAATAAAAAGAATAATCGCGATTAATCGTTTGACAGCACTAATATTTTTTTTAATTAAAAAAAAATATATATTTTTTAAAAATGTTAATTTTTATTTTCTATGTTACAATAATATCAGTTTAACGCGTTAAAAATATTTAACGCAATTAACGCAGGGGCGGGGCTAGGGTTGGCCACCCCACTCACAATTTAGTCGCAGAGCGTCTTTGCGACCACATCAAACAGGAGACGTTTTTAGACGCGCACTCCAACTTCACGAGCGCGGAAAAGGTACTGTGCTCGTAGCGCGTGCCGCCGCGCGCTGTAGCCTGTATCATTTTGTATCAAAGCACTACGAGCATGCAATGTCGTGGTCAGTTAAATCATGAAGTTAGCAAAAAGGCGATTAAAGTTGCCTTAAAACTGTGCATGCATGTAATGTATTATATATGAAGTTGAGAGAAAATACGATGCGTGTCAGATCCGCGTCACGTTCAGCAGCGGCAGCTCTTAAAGAAATAGCAGCCAGAACAACCTAATAACCCGCTGCTATGATGTCTGTTAATCAAAGAAAAAAAGAGAAAATCAATAACTTTTATAGCTTTAAGGATTCATCTATATTTAATTTAGAATTTAGTGTTTGATAACTTTAGTTTCAATTTCTGTGTATTTCTGCTGAAGGGCACAGGTAAATATGACATTTATTATAATGGGTTTATGTGAAGATTGTTTTAAGTTCACTTAAATTAGAAGTAATTTTTTTTAAGTCTAAAAAATGTTCAAATTGATAGCTCTCAATTATACTGTAATGTTGAATGGCTATAGTCAATGGTTAAATATTAGGGGAAAAACTAGTATTAGTAGTATTGGTATCTGTGATACTGGCCTTCAGTCATAAATGAGTGCCACACATCGGTATAAGAAGAAATATGTCACAACCCTGCTGTACAAGCCAATCTGAGAAACATGGCCATTTCAACACTCAACTTACATGACCTCTGTCTAGTTTGGCTGTTATATATAGTATGTATTACTGTAAATAGAAATGTACAGAGATGCACTTTAGAGGTACATCCCACCTTAATGGTTATAAAATAATCAGAGACATAGAAATAGCTCAGTTTTACTGGACAGTTAAGCACATATCTACTCTTTTAGGGGTTGGTACAATTTTTAAACCCCACTATTCAGTGGGACTGGGCCAAATCGACTGAATCGAAACCAGTACAGAGGTGTGTTCTTGAATAGTGTAAATAAAGTGTGACATGTTTATTTTAGTGTTTAAATAATTATATGTGTGTGTAGATAAATATTAATATATTATTAGAAAGCATAATGAAATTTCAGCCATTTATCGGTCAGAAAAAGGCCAGTTGTTTGGGGCCAAATATGTAAAAAGGGTTTAAGAAACTGCGTTTTACTTTTTTCCACTTTTTTAATTTCGTGAAAAAAGTTAAGCTTTTAAATCCATTGTTTTTATTATTACAATTTTTGATCTTCTGCATTTTTATTAGAACAGAACTAAATAAATATCGCAAGTGTCTTGACTTGATGTAACTCTTAATCTCTGTTATGTTCTTTTAAATTACATATCACTTTGAATAAATGATTCACCCAATTATAGTTTGTTTTTAGTTTTGATTCTTGGACATTCTGGGTAAGTAGCATATTCAAAATCTCGGGACCTTTAAAAAATATTGGAAAAACGTCTTGATATTTTGAAATCATCAGGATATTATGTGCAAGTAGACCATTATATAATCCTTGGTCATTTATATAGTGGCATATAATGGGTATAATGGACCGGTTACACTTTACTTGAAGGGGTGTGCATAAGACTGACATGACATGACATGACATGACACCTACATAATCATGACATGACACATGTCATGAATATGAAGGTTTTTTATGCATGTTTATGACAACTGTCATTAAGTGTCATTCACTCAGTTATGTAATTTTTAATGCAAAGATGACATTGTTTGAGATGTCTTTGTTATGGGCTATGGTTAGGGGTAAGGGTAGGGGTAGGGTTAGGTTAGGGTTAGGTCAAATAATGTCATATTTGCATTAAAAATGACATAACTGAGCGAATGACACTTAATGACAGTTGTCATAAACATGCATAAAACCTTCATATTCATGACATGTGTCATGTCATGATTATGAAGGTGTCATGTCAGTCTTATGCACACCCCTTCAAGTAAAGTGTTACCAATGGACCATATGAGAAGTGATAGAGCATTTCTTTTGAGTTCATGTATTTCAACTTTAAAATTAAAGTATTTCAAAATTAAAGTATTTTCTCACTTCTGGCTGTCAAACATTAGTAGAAGATGAACTACACCTGGGCAAACAGACATGTATCCACTAAAAATTAGTTAATTAAAATTCATTTCTGCTCAGAAAAGTCAAGTTAGTTCTGATAAAGCATCAATTGTTGCCAGATGCCATTGTATTTTATATCTAATACTGAAATTCGTATTAGATGTGTGAAATACCACAGGGGGGGCTGTATATAATCTCTGTCCATGATGATTATAGTCATATCACACAGGATCAGGTTGACTTTAAAGGATTAGACTTAATCTGTTATTGTGTAAACCACTAGCTAATGCTAACTGGCTAATAAGCAAGCTAACAATTGATCATATTTCTCCACAGATGCTGCTGTCAAGTTCATCACAATGTTATGAAATTCATAAATGCTAGTCCATCCAAGACCATCCATACAACACGTCCTGCAAGCCAGGAAATAAGGTGCAGTAGCAACATCTTGGTCTTGGCCTACTTACAGCATCATGTTGCTAAATTACAGAGAAAGTGAGAACAATGTATGTTATTACTCAGCAGTTTCTCATGTAATTACATAGTCATATGTAGGCTTAAGAAAATGACAACCGTAAAGTGTTGTGGAACATTAGCATAGGAGATGGATATAAAATACTCATATTTAGGTCACTCATGACGCAAGTTGTGCAGTACAGACAGGTCTGTCTACAATATAGGTGTACTTCAAAAATGAAAATTACAGTTTAAAAAGCGTGCTAATGCAAAACATCCAGTCAGGCCATGTGAATGTTGCATTGTTCATTCTAAGCTGAGTTTGGTGTCTTAACTGTCGTAAAGAGTCAAGAATTTTTGGACAAAAATTGTGCGGTTTAAAAAGAATAATTAAAACAATAATAATTACATTTTGTCAATAAATAGAATCATAATCCTAAAAAGCAATGTATGTCTTGTATGCAAGGCATCAAAAAATAAACAAATAAAAAAAAAAATATATATATAAAAAAATCTGGTAAGGTTACATTTGTTAACTTACACGTTTGATGCATTTATTAATCGTAGTTAATTTAAACATCTACATCAACATTATTAAAATCAAAAGTTGCATCTATTAATATTTTCATAGACATGAACTAGCAATTAACAATTGTGTTTTTATTAACTTTTGTTATAACAAAGATGAAAAAAAAAATTAAGCAATTTAAATTAAAAAAAATTGTGTATGTTGCAAAATATATATTATAATATTTATCTCAAAACTATATATTTAGCTTCAAGCATATGAGCATAGCTTTTTATCAAAAGGTTGTTAAAATAATGAGAAATACTGTATAAATTTAGTCAGATGTATCCAAATTTTTGACTGGTAGTGTGCCATTAAATAATGCCTTTTGATTCATTGAATCATATGCTGTTAAATATTTCTTTGACAAGCAATCAATACTTTGTGCTCATGGTTTAAAAAAATGCATTTCACACTGGATTTGTTGGTTGAATGCTTTCAATTTATTATCTGATTAATTTTTTTGGATATTTCAAATATTGTTCAAAAATGTTGTTCCTCACCACTACACAGGATTAATGCACAACATTTTGGGACCCGGTACCAGATGTCCTCCCATCACCTGCTTGAACAGCACACAGAATGACCTGATTATTGATGTGCTTGTCCTCTATTTTCTGAGAACCTAAGACAAAGGACAAACTATAGCTCTAATTATTCAACAAAGACTGCTTGAGGTTTAACATTGTAACAAATTCTAATCAATTTCCTCATTATAAGCATAATGAGGCCACAAAGGCATGCAATTGTTCTAGACTAGGCTCTAGAGTTGAAACATTTGCAGATGTCAAAGATCAGCAGGACTGTTTGGATTCCTGAACATTCAAACTTTGTTGCAATGCTGTATTGCAGGTCAATTTTGCAGAAGTGAAAGTGTTTGCCAAGGACATAATGTACTTGTAGACAGGATTTTTTTCTATTTTCCTGAGTTAAACAGGTTAGTAGGTCAGTGGATGAACTGTATGTTGGATAATTGGTCAAATTCCTGTTTAGATTTTTCTTGCTGCCTTTTAAAGACATTTCTTCAGATATATTTATATTACTTTGAGTTTGTGTGTGTGTGTGTGTGTGTGTGTGTGTGTGTGTGTGTGTGTATGTGTGTGAACAAGGTTAACAAGTTCTCAAGTTAAATATTCTAATTTAAAAGTTCACCACTAGGACACGCTATAATCAACTTTATCCAGATGTTTTGAGGAAGGTTTACAATCTGATGCAATATTTAGGCCTATGTTGAAGAAAAGAATTTCTGTAGTTATTTAATCAAAGTAATAATTAATGTAAACAAATATTCTATTGAAGGTCTTATTTAATTGTTTATACTTGCAAAAACAAGTATAATGACAAAAACAGAGATATTAGGTTACTAGGATCACTTCAGAAATCAAATATGTATACTTTAACCTCAAAAAACAGTTTGAAATGACTTATTCTGTTGGTATTTTCTGCTTTATTGACATTATAAACTTGGTTTGATTATGCAAGCTTGCATACTAGTTAGTAGCATCAACCCGATTTTCTGCCATTTAGCATGTATTAGCATACTGTCCAGATGTAAATGTCCTGACCTTAAAAAGAATTAGAATTTATGAATAACCTTTCTAACTGCGTCAGTGGCATTCCAAAGCAGGGTGAATGTATGAGTTTGTAATATAAAAGGTGGAGGAGAGGCCGTTCTCTGACAACAGACAGAAAATAGAATTGATACCATCCCATAACAAAAGGAGAAGGTGAAGCAAATATATCAGAGAGGAAAAATGCATTCCCTTGCAACCGTCTCTGACTCATGTGACTCTCCTTCAGTTTGGCCACGGGCAAGTATGACAAAGTCCTTGCTTTGTAAATGTAATATGATATCTATTGATCAATTTAATGCATCCTTGCAGAATAAAAATGTATTATAAATTATTTTTAATGTTGCATTTTTAGATTTTCAAAAAACTTAATTCTGTGTGATTTATAATTTACAATTGTATTAATTTTAAAATAAAAAAAATATTATAAAATCCATTTTAATATAAAATAAAAATTGTAATGTTATTGCATTTATGTATGTATATATACACACACATACACAGTACATATACTTAAATATTTAAAAAATATATAAATTATAATTAATACAATGTGTAGTAATTACATTGCCATTTTTATTCATCTCTATAATAAAATATAAAAGGTTAATGTAAAAATATATAAAGTTGAAATAGTAATTTTGTGTGTGTAAATATATATATCTCATATATGGAGACTGAATTTTTTTTTTACAAAAATTCAAATAATTTGTTAGTTTGTGTTAGATTGCAGGGTGTGTTTAAGTAACGCGTTGACAATTCGTGGCATGCATTGACAACTGCATGTTTGCTTGGTTCAGTCACTGGCTTTTCAATAATTCCTCAACTTCTAGGTCTTTAAACATGACACATTTGATGTTATAGGGTCATATAATACATTACCTCCTGCGTTAAAGAACATGTGTAGCCTACAGGGCATACTAACAAAAACGGCTTGCTTTCACTATTCCTTTCCCCGGCCCCTTTCCTTTCCTGTTTGCGCCTATGACAACAAAGCCCCCGATTCCCCTGTGCTATCAACTTACTGCGCCAAAAACGTGAGAGTGTCTCTTCTTTTCGTAGAAATTCCTAAAGCACAGAGAAGCCTCATTCAGGGAATCACGTGTGCCAAGAACAAAAGATCTGGCGCTCGGCCAGAAGCCTTTGGGGGATTCATCTGAACCTATAGGGAACATGGACATCCCAGCATGTACCCATGAACACACCTGAGGAACATCAGCAATATTTCCTCTCTCTAGAAGACATAACGTAATAACACATCATTCTGCCTGAATGAAGCGCTGTTTAAGAACAGCATTACACATAAAGACAGGAGACAAGATGTTTGTAAGTAAGAATCTGCATTGTGC